AAAACTAATAGACGCACATATGTATCACTAGATTTATGATGTATGCATAAAGTTTGAGGTGAACATGCTTGTTGGATGCAAGGATGAACGAACGAACGTACACATATCAGTTCATAAGTCGGATTGTGTCTGAACAGGGAGTAATAAAAAAGTGTCCCTAATGCAGGTTAGCGAATTCATTTAAAAGTCAAATGGTTGAATATTACCAGAGTGTCTGTTGACATTGAGACAACTTCGATGATGTATGCATAATGTTTGCAGCAGACATGCATGGATGGTGAACGCACAGAGGTCAGTCCATTAGTCGCATTGTGTATCAACAGGGATAATGAAAAGTGTCTCTAATGTGGTTTTGCACAATGAGTTGAAAGTAAAATGAAGAAAAAATACCTGTGTGTATGTTGATGTTGAGGCAACTTCGGCAGAAAATTGGGGTTGCACTGTTTTCTTATCAGCGGGCTTGCTTTGGATAAACCTTTCAGTGAACAGTTGTATTTCAGATGTTGAAGGCCATCTAGTGGGCATCAAATTGAGATATGCAAGTCCTGCTTGACGTTCTTCATTAAGATACGACTTGGTAATAGTTTCCACTCTTGCATCTGTAAATATTTTCTGTTCCTCCTCACAAGCTAAACATAAAAAGATAACTTGACTGGTGAAAAAGGAAGTAATGGAAGTTTTAAAGATTTTCCACACTAACAAGTTGATGTACAATTTGTTCCAATATTAAAAGAATGTGTAGACATTTTATCTAAAACTTAACTAAATATTGCATCATGACATACAACATAAATATCTAGTTCTTGATTTATCAGGTTAAACAAGTCATCCAACCTAAGCAATTAGAATTAACTCAACAATAATCTTTTGAAAGAAAAAGACTGATTGGGCCATGTCAGAAAAGTCCTCAATGTGTCCACACCAAGATGCACCAATTCTACAAACAACATAGTACTGGAAGGTTATGCAGGGCAGCACCTGAGAACAGATAATAGAAGAAATTTTGTACCTGGAATCTGGTCACTGATACTTGGTGATCACTAAAAGACATGAATGAATGATAAAAGAAAGGTTGAAGGAAATCAACAGAATGATAAAGGAGAGATTAACAAGCCAAATATGACAAGACTATAGTTTGAAATGAACTCACATAGTGTTGTATCTAATCAAAAGACTTCCTTAGCGTGCCATTAATTTAATTTAGCTTTTAGGCGACTGTGTAGAGTGTGAAGCCCAAAAGTAAAATATACTTTTATAAAACGGTGATGGTTTAGTTATACATGCTGCATGCAAAATATCAGGTTGATTTTTTAATGCATTCATGAGAAACAAATGCCCGAATTTATGTAAATTTTTCAGAAATCCAATTCAGATCAACATATATTTTTTGTAAAAAACTTCGACCATATGCTACAGCTGTTCTGATAAAGTACTACTGAGAAACAAATCACTCAAAAAAGTGATAGAATATATATAAGTTTAAAGAAACAGAAAAATCATGCATCTGTAAAATACCACATCTTGTCAAAATGAAATTGATTGCGGCCAAACCGGGTGACCAAACACAAAGCTTCGCAAACTTTAATAAGCTCTATACACAAAGGCTAAAAGAAGGTTCAGATACATGTATTCACTAGTTCTGAAGAAGCCGAAATCTATGGGTTTTTTTCAGGGAGAAACATGGTAGAAGAAGTCATGTGAGTGCTGACGTAGGTATTAGTAGCCGATATATCAACAATGCTACTACAACATATGCATAAGGCCAAGAAAAGGTTCAAAATTGACACTTCCTGTTTAACTTCCACCTACGATGGCTGCCAAAACAGTCAATCAATTCAAATTTTGAATGTCAGTGCACCACTTCTCATGAGTCCCATGTACTTAAAGTCTATGAACAACGTTGTTCAAGTTCTAGGGAGCGTGAACGAAAACAATAAGGTTCAAACGGTCTTGGACTCTTAATATTATCATGATGCAAACTTTTAATGCAATCCCACTGTTCTTTTATGTTAAATGGATCCAGACAATTTAAAGTCTGTGATTTCAAACTTTCCCCGATACAGGGACACAAACATATACCCATCAGCGAAACGTTTTCAATGAAATCAAATGTGTTCTGGCAACACAAAATCAATTTAATATTTGAGAAATTGTTTACATTTGTGGTTTTAGTTTTTGTACAAAACTAGCTAACATTTAGTTAAATTTTCTTCACCGTGTAAAAGTATTAACTTAGTCACGTGTTTATGATTATGTAGCATAATTACAATTGTATATGTGCTGTTTGGTGTTTGCTGAATGCCAGAATTAATATTTTTACCATGTTTTAATAAACTCTTCTTACTGCTATGACGAGGTCTTGTAATGCGCCACCAAATGAAATATGCTATACCTGGTAAAAAAAAATCGATTTTTTTTAAAAATTATGAATAATAATTTGCAAAAGCGGAAAGAAACTACATATATGTATTTTGTTTTTCATTAACTCAAATTATTTAATCTTAGCAGTCTTATTATTATCTTTATTACATTTTAAATGATAATTTAGATATTAAAATTTTCAACATGGTTGGAATAAAGTTGGAAAAGGCTAATACAGTGATTTTTTCTAAACTTACATATTAAATTCACGAGCACTATCAGTACAAGTATAATTATATACTGATAACATGATGATTCTTCCTTCACTTCACAGTATTGTTCGGTCACTAAAATAACAATAGAAATAACAAACATGAAATCACAACAGATTTATAAAGTAGAAATGAAATTGTACAGTCAGGGTACAATGACACAGGATTGAAATGGCTGAAATGCTTGATTTTGATTTTTTACTATTAAACTTGCTGTCATTCCAGAACCAGATCTCAGTCGAGCATGGACGAATTTTGTTCAAACAAACATTAAACATTATGACATGTTGCACGTTGTTTTGTTTTTCACATCCGATCAAACCAACTACATGATAGCCATTTTGTTTTAGGCGAATCAGCTATAGACATTCCCTGATAATTAAAGATACAAACATTCATTTGAACATTTGATTGCAAAACCTATTGACATGGACGTATCTCAAGATGTATGTATAGCGTTGATGTAATTGATGTATGTGATAAATGTCTCATGCACACACAGATGTCAAAACACAAGTTCCTGTTTTCAGACCGATACAAATGAAAGACCGAAGTGTAAGTCAGGTTAATTAAAAGTTTTGCATGACGAGAAATTCTGCTGTTCCACATACTACGGGCACACCAACAAAGGACACCTTTTGCATTATTAAGTCGCAAAAAAGCACAAAAGTTTAACGATAGTAAAGAATTTTACTTATGATACGAGAGAAAAGGGCTGTTCACAAAATGCATGAGCAAACAGAAGTACTCTGCTACAGTTCACTGTAAGTCACTTAACTTCCCGGTGCTCTTCAAAATCTAGACTTACACAAGCTCAAGATATTATGTTTGTCTGCACGCAAACTTGATTGAAATAAAAGTTACATTGGGTTTATGCAGTTCAAGGTCATGTGAGGGAATCATCCCTTTCAATTCAAAATCACAATGTAAAAGCAAGCAGCGAATTTTGTCCATATTTGACTGACTGTTCACTATATTCAAATATTGATAGTGACTCTATAAGATTTCAATGTCACTTAATCATAAATATGTGATGATTAAACAGACGGTCTTAATGATTCAATAATATTAAATTTTTCAATTGTATTACTTTTAACCTGAAATATTAAAGACAGAAATCAACTTACCTCTACATGATGCATCTTTCATGCTAGTGTGGTGCCTGTCATTTACATTCTTCTTATGAGATGCCTTACGAAAAATAAATCACGTTATATAAACATGCATTATATAATGAATTCCACGCATTTTTTGCATATCTACATAGATATTTCATTGAATATCTGTTAGGTTTGAACTTAATCAGCCAAAGCATGTGTGAGATATGGCTGGATACAAATGGATGAACGCACAGACATGCACGCATTGGTCAATTCATAAGCCATAAATGAATTGCTTAATACATTCGTTACGCCACAGACAAGTAACTGTTTTTACCAGCTTTTGTTTTCAAAATAAGACCAAATAAATAGACATGCTACATACTGTATTAAAAAACAAACAATTCGCATCAAGACACACAATTGTAGCCTCGTTCATTACGAATTCTGCATTAATTAGTACTTACTTCTTTTTTCAGGATTAAATTGTGAAGGTCTTCTACAGACATAAACTCTTCCTCATACTCGTCAATATTAACACGAACGCTATCTTTAACATTAGTATTTATGTAGCTGAAAATGCTATTTCCACCATCTCCTATAAATCACAATGTAAACACATTAACAAAAGTTCACAAATTCGTTAGGGATCATTCAGATAAATATGTTAAAAACATGGTGTTACTTCAAATAGCACCTAATTCAGGTTTTGTTTTGTCAAAATTACACAAAATGGTAACCCGAATATAATACAGTTAACATCCAATTGTACAAAATAACAAAACCAAACATGTGTGGTGTTTATACCAAAAAGTCTGAGAAATTTACACTAAAGATAAATCAGAATTTCAAATGAACTCTATTACATATTTATCTATATCTTCTCCACGGTTACAATAAATTTCTTAGCATACATCACCAACAAAAAGGATTCCAGAACTGATAAGAACAACTATATTTTCGAGACAGCAGGAATATTATAACATGCGTAATTCATTATTTACTATTTCTGTGCATGTATTTTAGCGCGCTGACACACAGACACACGTCCCGTTTTCGGACTTCATCTAAAGAGAGATTAATAATATCATTACGAAATGAAAAATGCTACTGTTAGTTTTCAAGTCAAAACTAATATATGAACAGCGGAGGTAAGATATTTTTTACAACTTACGATTGATGAAGTACTTGACAAGTGACTTGAACTCCTCTTCGTCATATGATATATTCAACATATAGGGGATGTTCAGTAGAACTGATTCATATCTCATTTTTTCAGAAATTAAAAATTTTTCAAATTCTTTTGCCAATGTTCCGGAAGTTACAATGCCTTGGAAGGTATAGAGACTAAATAGATTTGGGAATGTAATGTAAATTATAAGACTCCCTTCCTTGTATCCTAGGATAATAGCGGAACACTTGTTTTGGACAGCACATTCTAATTCCTCTTGGTAATCCCTGTTGTTAATTGTTAATTGAGTGATAATGTCTGTGCATTTCCACAACCAATGACTATGTTGTACATTATCTGGATTGATTCTGGTCAGAGTACTTGATTCTGAATTGGTTGTATTAAGGACACAGCGGACAGTTAATTTCAAACATGATTTGCATGAACACTCTGGACACTCGTTGATAGTTGTATCTTGTATTAGTATGTCATCTAGCAATGCAACCACTTCTTTGTAACTTTCTGATATAATGTCACTTGTTATGAATATTTCCCGCAACTCGGCTGATTTATCCCAAGATAGGTTTAAATAGAGTAAGGTGTTTCTAATTTCTACTTCCCAACTTTCCAAAGGATTTTTCACAATCATGGACTGCCAGTCAATAAGTGTATTGCTTATTACGAACACCTCTTCAATAAAAGCTGCAATTTGTGATTGTTCAGCAACCAGTACAGGAACTCCTACTGCTACTGCTTCTATACCAGCAAAGCTGTATTCACTGTTAATTTCGGGGATAATACAAAGATGACTTTGTTTTAAATATTTCAAGTAATTATTCGTCAAACATGATGGATGCAGCCTAATTAAATAATTAGATGATTCAACAGTCTCATTTATTGCTTTCAATGTACTGATGTCCAGTTCATCAGAGACACACAGGATCATCAATATTGGATTTGGTTTCTTGGTTTTTTCAAACAAGTCTGCAACTTCACCTATCGACTTGGCAGCTACATTTCTAGTTCTTGGATGAAAAAAATGTCCATGTGTAGAGATATAATAAGGCTGTTTTTCGTCATACAATAGTTCAGGCACTTTGGTTTCCAGGAAAATGTTTGAAGGTAGTGGCAGTAATTTCACATGTGGCTTATCACGCAGTTCGGGAAGCCTGAATATGTTTTGATATTCATTATACAGGGTGGGTCCAATGGATATAAATGCAGCAGCCTTGTACACCAATTCATCTATTTCATCTTCAAGGGTGTCAGAATCAATCCCATCCACTGGATATGGCAAAACATGGTTAATCAAAAGTAATTTTGCATCACTGAAAACTTCTTCTTGAATGGTTGCAGCAGCAATAGCAGTTTTGAGTGAATATCCGACCACATGAGTTATATAAAGATACTTTAAACTAGGAAACAAAGACTCATGCAGAACAAACCAGTCAATACTTGGGGAAGATTTTAACCTTTTCTTTCTTGGCTCAATTAAATATATATTTCCATTTTCCGCATCGCTGCGCTGTTCATCGTTTACTTCAAGTACAGTGCTGTAAACTCGGTACCTACAGGATGTGTTTTTAGCTAGATATTTTGCGAGAGTGACGTGAAACCCATCCAGACCGCAACGTTCAATTTCCCATGAACTGTATACAAAGAGAATTCCTGGTATATTTGATGGATCATTCTGATCTTCTGTACAGTAGTGGTTGGTCAAACAACTGAGATTGAAAAACAAAACAAAAAAGCTTTTTAAAGTAGTGTATGTTGAAGTATCAATTTGAATCAAAATAGTCATTTGAAGATGACAACATATAAAGCTAAAAATAAATTTTATAATTCAGCAACATACTAAACAAGCAACCTTTCCATTGAAAAAGCTTTTTAGTCCCCGTTCGGATGCAGTCCGAAAAATGGAGACTTATGTTTTGACCTCCGTGTGTCCGTGCGTGCGTGCGTGAGTGCGTCTGTGCGTGCGTCCGAACATGTATCTTAGAAATGCCTGGACCAATCACAATCAAACTTCACACATATATCATACATGTTATTATACATATGCACGTCAATTTGTTTCACGACCTGATTCAAGATGGTCGAATGGCGGCCATTTTTGTGCTGAAAAATCATAAAAATCAAGCATTTCTCGGTTGTTTACAGATGCATTTTGTTCAAACTTGGTATATACATTAGACATTATGGGACCTTGATGCAAATAATTTGTTTTTCAGATTAGATTCAAAATGGCCGACCGGCGGCCATTTTGTTTTAATGAATATGGTTCTCAGGCCATATGTCTGACTTGCTTTCACTAATTATTTCAAATTTTAAATATTCATTATACATCATGTTATAGATATACAGATATATTGGTTTGACGATCGTTTACAAAGTGGCCAAATGGTGGCTATTTTTGTGCTAAAAAAATCCTCAAATATTAAGCATTTCTTGTATTTATGGATGGATTTTGTTCAAACTTGGTACATATATTAGACATTACAGGTTCCTGATGCACGTCATTTTATTTTTCAGATCGGATTCAAAACGGCTGTCTGGCGGCCATTTTGTTTTAATGAATGGGCTTCTAGAGCCATATCTCGTAAATGCTTCGACTGATTATATTCAAATTTTATATATTCGTTATACATCATGTTATATATATACATATACATGTATTCAAAATGGCTGATTTTGAATGCTGTTCCAGAGCAATATCTCTCAATATTGACAAGTACTTGTTTGACGATCAGATACAAATGTCAATCATTTTAATGTTAAAATATCATATTCCTGACATGGTTATATTCCAGCTATATTACTATAAACAAAACTATATATCTTAAATGTTATAACTACCGAGGACTGTGTCATGCATGGCTTGTTAACTGTGAATTCGAAACATAAGGTGGATTGATGTTTCGAATTTTCGTATCATGTTATGATGTCATATGACCAGTCAGGGCAAGAATTTTAAAACTAAAAATAGAATAAAGATCGAGCAGCAAAACATATAAACATTGAAATGGCCTTGACCTGTAATTCAACATTTTGTAAAAAAAAAAAAACATTGACCCTGGTAGTCCAGATCTCAACATACAGTCCATGAATTATACATAGCCCATATATAATGTATGGGAAAGTGGGAAAATATTAGTGAACAAATATATTCACAAAAAAATTCATATTTTTCACCAAAATAGAGATATCTTTACCAAATGAACAAATTGAAAGAGGACCAGTTCGCATGTCTACATTATGAATCTCAAAGCAATCTGGCAGGCAGTTTCGGAAAAAAATATTTTGCATGAAATTAATAAGTCAGAGTGTAGTTTATTTCAAGAACATTCATGCCAAATTTCAATGCAATCTGACAAGTAGTCCTTAAAAATAGAGACTTGGATGTGATGTCATGAACAACAAATGAATGAACAAATTTGACAGGGGACCACCCAAGGTAGCTGTGCTATAAATAGCAAAATGTTCTACCTTATGATTTGGGATAAGTCATCTGAAAAAAGTTGACGGACCACATACTACGTATGACAAACAGACAATGACAGATCTAGTTAACCCATGAGCTACAGCCATCTTCAATGACAGTGAAGCTAATAAAGTGGTTGCAGCTTAAAATAAAATAAATGTTAAGCAACGCTTGGACTGCACTGTAGATTATAATTTGATATTTACAAAGTGAAACCACACTCACTTGCAACAAAATCATTTGCACCCCAAGTGATGTTATTGAATAGCCCCTTCCTTACGATCTAAATGTCCCATACACTGATGCTTAGTGAAGAAGAAGTGAAGCGGGGCAGGTGTGGTGAATTTGTTAATTTACTCAATTCAGTTGTGTCTGTGTCTATCCTTCTCAATATGTTAATAAAAGCGAAGGGAAACATTGACTCACTGTTGTATAATCTTTGTTTCTACCCAGCTGACTTCTCTGAATGAAAAAGCAAGGCTAATATGTTCAAAATTAATAATTAAAAAAACGAGTTAAACAGGCTTCTAACACTGAACTAAGAATACTCCTATAGTGCAAAAATATGTATGTATATATACACTTACCCCAACTGGGGACTTTAATGCCAAGTAAAAGAAAGTACTTAAAATCTCATTCCTAGGAGACTACTAGAATGTCTGTCTTTAACTTGTATGCTTGGGTAACAGTATCTTTCACCCATCATCTAATCATCGTTAGAGATGAGGACTTGACAACAGAAACAAATCTATATAGTTAAAATAATAACAATGACCAGGCAAGGCAGTAGTTTCTCCTAGTCTCCCTTCCAACAACTTGTGTGAGGAAGGGGGTTAAAAATAGGAGTTTTGCTCACTTTTTTTATTTTTCACTATGACATCAAGCTTCGTTATCATAGAGCCTTGTCTTTCCACATGGTTGTTATTTTGCTTCTCATTAACGAGAGGCAAAGATGAGAAAGAAGTCAAATGTTCAAGTGACATTGATCATAGTGGTTTGAAAGAAGGCTTGTGTAATGCATTTTAAAACTTGAACAATAACAATAACAGTATGTGTGGATCTGATCCTAAGTCAATCCCAGCAGTTTATCCCAAATTTGTTAGTCATAAGCTAGTCCTGTATCTATTAATAACAACATTTGATCTAGGAAGACTTGTAGTGCCCATCTGAATGCAGTGCAAAGATGTCTGTTCGCATTACATGCCCAACCATTGCCAGCGCCTCTGCATCAATATAACTGCTAATTTCTGTGTTTGAAATATGCTGTGACCAGAGTACTTTAAGAATACACCATAGACACGTGTCTTCAAAGCTCTAAGTCTGCTCTCAATCACCTTGATGGTTGTCAAGGTTTCTACTGCATACAAGCGTGTAATTTGAACAATGCCAGACGCGTGGAAGAACACCATGGTCTTGCATCAGAAATGTGAGTCATCCAGCAGCCGTACAGGCATTTTGGCTACAAACGGCAAGATAAATGAAAACCACTGTTTCGTTAAACAATTGTGTATGACTGTCATCATTAGGACTTAAGCAGAGGGTTCTCCGAACCCACCTATTCACATAGTTCATACCCACCATAGACTTCGGACAGTCAAAATTACTATTTTGAACTGTAGGCATTAATCAACGATTCTGCCAATGACGGAGAGATAGAATCTAGATCTGGGGAAGCCCTGTGACCCCAAGACTCTTTTCCCTTACATCACGAACCACGTGACCGAGCCCATATGGTGGCGCCATCAGGGCTGAATATACACCCTGGATCCTTTCTCTCCGCATCAAGGACTTAGACCAAAGCGGGACCTGGAAGCTTCCAGGGGAGTGCTGATAGTAGAGAAATCTGTCCGTAAAAATAGAGAGACTGAATTATTGCATATGTGCAGGGACCCTTGTGGTCGTTCGGGCTGGGTCGGAAAACCAAGACTGACCCGCTACGACAGGACCCAACCTAGAGAGACCCTTCTCAATGAATTCGGTGTCTCTTAGGTGGTAGTTGATAAAGACGTTCTGCGTTCTCCAGAAGCCTGCCCTCCATGTGTGCTCAAGGGGGCACCTGACGCTAGCACTAGTAAGTTAGCAATCGCACAGACCTCATGCGCTCGTACTTGGTGTCTCTGCAAGCTCTGTGTTGAGGCAGTTAAAGTATTATAGACCTCTAATACAGTCGCAGTAAACCACCTGGTTATGGAAGTTGGGGAGACCGGCCTATCCTGCCTGCCTGGGCCATAACACAAAGACATGTGCCTGTCACCTCGTCCTGAATCCTTAGTACGATTTGGTGGCAACTCCGTGCTACTCCTACATTTTCAATGGTGGGAGACAAGGCCGACCTGTAGCCAACGATCACTGCGTAGGACAAACCCACTTCATCAAACAGGTGGATGAAAGAGCCTGCTACCTGGCCAATAGAGGGATGGTATGGATCAATCTCCCTTCCGCTACACCAATCAGTGTATGCTCGTAGCCTAGAAATGTAGGCTGCATTGGTGCAATCCCTGTTCTCCCTGGCCAGGACATTGGCAGCCCGCTCAGATAAGGCTTTTGTATGTGTGGGTCTGCTGAGAGCCTCTATTCATGTAAGTGATACCTGCTGGGCTCATTTGTAGTACACCGTCTGGTTGGAACGGCAGGTCCAGTAAGTCTGGAAGCACTGTTGGTGTTTCGACTAGCATTTCTGACAGAAGTGGAAACTAGGCCTTGCTTGGCCAATTGGATGCGACCAATGATAATATGCAGGTGTGCACCTGTCAAAGTTTTTTCCGGTGCCCGGTGAACTAGCGGGAAGGGAGGAAAAGCGTACACAACTACGGGGTTAGTAAATCGACCCTGGCCCAGGCTCCTGGAGTCAGCAGGAGTGTTAGCCTGGAGGCTACCCACTGAGGTATCAGCCACTCCATGTTCTGGAGACGGAGCCCTCCTGAAAGGGCATCGCCAGACTGTCCCTCACCCCTGGAAGGTGGTGTACGGTCAGCTCCACATTGTATTCCAGGCACCAAAGGAGGATTTGCTCCACTAGGACTGACAATGATGGGGAATGTGTCCCTCCCCTCCTTCTTGAAGGAGACCTTTGCTGCATTGTCTGTGCGGAGCAGGATTCTGTGGTCTTGAACTATGGGTAGAAAGCATGGTAGTGCTAAGTACACTGCTTTCAGTTCGAGACGGTTGATATGGTAGTCCCCAAACTAATGTGGGAGCCATAACCTTGGGCTTGTTCGTCCAATAGATGCGCTCCCCAACCCT